CTATTGTAACTTCCAAATATGCTTATAGCAGTATATGTATACACACTACACAGTGAGCTCTGTCCGAGATGACACGGCCCCAGATTCGTACACGCCCTACTTCTCATCTCAGTTGAATGTACGCACTTGAAATTTTGTTTGCGAATCGAGTACAAGAGGGCTTAAAAATATAAGCTTTGTATGAGAAGTTATCTGTTTCGAGTGATTCGTAAGCTTTTCCGCTGAGATATACGAATGAACGCGTTTAACATTCGAAACTAATCACACCTAATTGTTATCTTGAAGTGTTTCTATATTAAATATTTTCTTACACTGAGATATGTAGAAATTATTATTTAACTGAATTTTTAAAATATATTTTGTTCTTCAATTACCCTAATATATTAACTGGCAATTATGTCTTTGTAAACTTTATTCGACTTATTGACACCACTTATGATATTAAGCCCTATACGTTTAACACTATCACATAATTTAATTGAATCGACGAATCCAAACCACTTAACTTACTTTAGATAGCATCTCTAATTTATAATTTCATGATATCTACCACTTTATTTGTACCACTTTACAGTTTATATTTTGGGGTGAGAGCGAAGAAAAAAAAAATCGTCTTTATATATATATATATATATATATATATATATATATATATATATATATATATATATATATGGATAACCTAACTCAATATACAGTGTGTCCCCTTTTCTTTTACTATAGTTATACATTTGTAGCTTCGATGATGTCACCATCACATTTAGAAAATAGTACTGACGCATGAGTTAGGGAGGATTGAGTTAAACTGGACAAATCTAGAAATAATCTAAAAGCACTAAAATTTTACAACAAATAAATAACAATAGTCTAGATTTATATGCACAATAACACTAAAATTCCAAACTGGAACCATAAATTTCAGTGGAACTGAAACAAATGGAGCGGATTTAAACAAAAAAGTCACCTCTAAAAATGCTATTTCGCATGTTATCCTGAAAAATATGTTCATTGGAGCAAAAAATTTAATCAGAACATTTCCATTAAGCCTTACATTATATATAGCACATCTTTCTTTGTGATGGTTCGTATAACTTTTTCGCTAAAGTATTGTTGCACAGAAACAGGCCCAAGATTTAGTATATAGTTAATTTACGAACACTCGAGTACATTATGACAGTCAGTGGCATTCAGCAAAGTGCTCATTCATGGGAAATGCAATTTCCCTCACTAGCATGACGCTAGGGATGGGATCGCAATTTCGATAACATTATTTTCTATTTTTAAATATATTATAAAATATATATACAATTATAATTAACTTGAAAATTTTGAAAAATATTTAGTGTTACACATACGCTATCTAATAGAACATATATTCTTATATTGCATAATATTGACTTAGTAGTTTAAGAACATCAGTTTTATTAGTTAAAAAGCTTGTAAGTTGTATATTTTTACACAGATATGCAAATAGCAATACATTATATCTAAAAACAGCTTACTACACACTATATTATATTAAGATATAAAGAAAAACATCTAAAAATCCTTACTTTAAAATTATATATATTCCTTTAATAAAGGCAGAGTTGAATGTAATGAATAACCAAGTTTTACTAAGTGACTATAAAAGCCAGGGCTGTAATAAATTACATTTCACTATACGGGTGGCGCTTTTAGCGATACATTTTATTTGAAGAGCACAGACTTTAAGAATTATAAGTATTCACAATGTTTTGTAATTTATTATTAAAAGCGCGAACGCCCGTCGGCTTTCAACAGATTTTAACGTGTTTACTGAAAAATGGTTAAAATTGATGGAGATAATAATGAAAACTTTAACATATTTTACATCAGGTTAATTTTATTATGATATAGGAATATTTTTATGGACAATAAAGATTCAAATGGATTTAGGTCTTTTACCCAAAAAGTCATCAAAGTTATTGCTACGTAAGAGTAGTATTACCAAATTTTGCCATGTAAGTACGCCCAAATAAATGTAGGAAAACGGGTTTTCAATAAAAAATATCCTTTTACGAGGGTAGCATTTGATCGTCCGCAAATATTTCATTTATACGGCTCACATTTTCAGTTGGGAACAGAGAGTTATATTATGCGCATAGATATCGGACAAATTGCTTTCCTTGGCCTTAGTATTATTACAGACTGTTCTTTATTAACTTACTTACCTGTTAACTTATTGCTGGAGAATGGAGATACACACAACACAAATATTAGGTCTAAAAGTCTAAGGGAATAAAAATAAGAATTACAATTTAATCTTTTACCAGATAAAAATCACGAATTTTAAAGAAAGTTTTTTTTTTTCTAAATTGACATATATACTAGTAGCTTTAATATATCCATTGAGACGATGATTGTGGGTTCATTTAGGTATAAAACCAATATTATATTTTTTAATATAATATATAAGCAAATTATGTACTGTAATTATACTAAATTTAAACGTAACAAGTTATAATACTTTCTTAGATTTACGCGAATATTTGATATTTTAAATTAAACTACGAGTATCTTTTCGCATTATTTCGCGGATTTATTTTGATTTTTGGTTACCGACGTTTCGAATGCTTTACAGCATCCATGGTCACGGGAGAGACTGAGGTGTTACATGTCTTGAAGGTTTAGTTGTTACAGACAGCCTACCCACAATTAACAAAATGAAAATTGCACCAATTACATTACAATATTTTTTAACTTTAAAGTTAAATAATTCGAAAAGATAGTTTTATTTAAAACGCAACAAGTTATGTTAAAAATAATATGATATGACATAACAAACTGCTACCCTTTTTGTACTACGTACTGCAACCAGCGGACAGAGTAATTCGTTTTGACACATACACCAACTGCAGAATACGCATGGCTTACTATAATTTGACTCAAGCGTACCATTATTGAACTATAACAACATGGCATCGTGTTATAATAAAGGAAGCGCCTCTGAACAAAACGGCATGCATCATTTTATCCAATCTTCCTTTCCATATTTTTCGTACAAGTAAACCTAATTATTCTTTACTACGATCGAACTCATGATTTTTAGCCTATTATGTATTACCAACAATACATTTCATATGGCATTTGTAGTTTAAATCTATTTATATAATAAAATTGTAACTAAGCCGAATCCGTACATTAAATATTTTTTGGAAAACCTTATAGCAAAAAACATTATTATCGATACAGAGGCAGAATCTATAGTTTTTAGAATTTTTGTCTGTCTGTCTGTTACCGCATCACGAGAAAACCACTGGACAGATTTTGATGAATGCGGTATGATGATAGCTGGTTATCCGGGTCAACTATAGAATACTTTTTACCGCGAGAAAATATTTCATTTCTGAGAAAAAATACAAAAACTGCAATGTAAGAGTATACTAATATGTAAAACCTAAGAATTTTATTTTTGGTCATCTGAACACGGGCGGAGCCGCGGGCAATGCTAGTCTATATATATTATTGGAAATGTGCCAAAATACTTGGCTCTGGAAACAAAGGGAATATCTCCGTAAGCCACACTCGACTATAATATGATCGTTATCCTAATGGTATCATTTCACATCACAAAAGTACTAAAAGCCTAAAAGCGGAACTTGTAGTGTATTTTAATTTACTAGTCATAGCAGACTTAGATGAAGCTATATTAGAGGATACGTTACTTTATAAATATTATTGTACATAATAAAAACTATACTTTTTTATATAGTATTCTGAATTAGTGCTTGACTATGTTCCACCCGATGGTAACTGGTGACGCAGTCGTAGATGGTAAGTCGCACTAATACAGTAGCCACCTATTCACTCTTGCCTTGAAGACACCCATGTTGTAATCGGAAAACCCATGTTGTAATCGGAACATGGGTTATCCGATTACAACAATTTTAAAACGTCTAAATAATATTACCTATAATTAAGAATACCTAAGAGTATATAAAAATATATATCGTAACATTAAACTAGACTTGACCAACTACCCCCCCAAAAAAAAAAAAAAAAAGACTTGACCAACTAGAAACAAATATTAAATTTCCAAATGCAACTAAACTATATAATGATTATGTCTCCTGAACATTACTGTGGAGGAGTCACTAACTACGATTGGATGAATAGATTATAACCATTTTACTGCTCAAATATATTTATCTATACATATAATAAAATTGTAACTAAGTCGAATCTGTACATTAAATATTTTTTGGAAAATCTTATTGAAATAGACATTATTACCGATACAGAATCCGAATCTATAGCTTTTAGAATTTTTGTCTGTCTGTCTGTCTGTTACCGCATCATAAGAAAACCACTGGACAGATTTTGATGAAATTTGGTACGATGATAGCTGGTTATCCGGGTCAACTATAGGATACTTTTTACCGCGGGAAAATATTTCATTTCTGAGAAAAAATACAAAAACTGCAATGTAAGAGTATACTAATACGTAAAACCTAAGAATTTGGTTTTTGGTCGTCTGAACGCGGGCGGAGCCGCGGGCAGTGCTAGTTTAATTTAAAATACTTGCACTAAAACCTATTTGATAAAACCTGTTTTGTAAAAATACTTATAACTGACATTTTCTTAATTATATTATCACTTCAATCTTATTTTTAATCCAGATAATAATTATTATTTATTAGTATTAAAAATGAGCAAAATTACTCTCTTTTACTAAAAAAAAACATTGAATTTACAAACTCTATCATATAAACTGCTATTGTGCTCGCAAACATACATTATAAAAGCTCTTGATTTAAATTTTGGCTTTTTATAAACTAAACAAAAAGTAGGATGAAACACATTCTTTTCCAAAATTATCAATATTCATTTAACTAATATATTTTTTCATTATAAGTACTTATAGACTTATTGATAACCTATTAACTGATAAAAGAAATATGAAAATCGATCAATAATTGTTTTCAATCGAATTGAAACTTTTTGAATTCAGTCGATAAAATACAATTTCCAATACTTACGCGCTAATAATGTGCATGTTCTGTAGCGTCGCGGATGGCCGTGACGGATGTCTGGTCGGTGGTAGAGGTGGCTGGCCCGAGCCGCTTCCGGGCCCGTACAGCACGGGTTGGAGAGACAACGCACCTAGAGTCATCGACGGTGGACTGGACAACCTAAATATAGAGCGAAAATTAGTATGGCATGTAGAGCTATTTTTGTATAGATTCCCTACTCCATAGTGACTTTTTGCAATATACTAGATAACATTTTACGGGAAACTCTAAATGACTTGTTCTTTTTATAATATTATATATTTTTTTATTATTATTGTTATTATTACTAGAGTAGAGACTAAATGATATTTATAAAAATTAAAGTTACCTTTTGTATATAATTTTAATTATAATAGCTCAAATGTTATACATAAAATTAATTGATGATTTATGTTTATGATTATAAATATTTAATTTAAACCTTTTTTACTGTGATCAGGCCACAGTCCACATGATTGTAATGTTGAAAATTATTCGGACATAAAAAAAATCATAGAGACCCGGGTTTCAACTTGCTCAAATTAGTGTTCCAAGCGAAAGTTACCACTGTAATATAGCCTAAATGAATGAACGCTAAATTTATTAACACTCCATGTTAAACAAAATTGAAAGCTAAAAAACCGCACGCCAGACAAATGTCAAAACAAAACCGATCGAGAAAGCACTCGAGCAAAGCCGACATGAGTTACGACATTAGCTCCGTAAATCTCCTGACTAAACCACAGTGCAGTCAGCTGAAATAGGACGAAAAAAATTGCTGTATTTGCCATTTGTAGTAAATGAAGGAAACACAGCTATAGCTATTTCTTTTAATTAAAATGTTTTTTTTTTGTATTAAATGTTTGCTAAATTGTCGCTATCAATAATGATGTTTTAAATAAAAAGAGGTCGACTTCAAAATCACTTTAAAAGTAATAATTTTACTCTTACGGGTGGAATTTATTAAAAATGGAACATGAAACGCAGTTCATCACGCAGCAAAAAAAATTATTATAATATTGAAGCTTCTAGGTCAGCTTATTTCATTTCCTTAGATTAAGTATTTTTTATATCTGACTAATAAACACTTGAACCACCAAGATATAAACTAGCAATTATGTTACATATTATAAGCATTCACAATGTAAAAGATAATATCGAAATTTTGCTCCATTGCTGCATGAAAACGGGATAGACCAATAAACACACTACCATTTGGTATTTGAAACAGAAAATAATTAAATGAATTAAATTTATTGCTAGTGTATTAGCAAATAAAACTGTTAAATTATTTCATTACATTAAATAGCAGGCTCTATAAAGCAAATATTTTATAGAGCTATTAGCAATTTATAGCGTTAGCACAGGACACGAGTATACTACGAAAATTCTAACGTGTCATCATTACCAATAATTTAAATAAAAACTTTTTAACAAAAAAATAAAAACCGACTTCAAACAAAAGCACTAAAAAGTAAAAAATAACTGATTGGTAGTTTTCATTTACTATACATACCTAATCAAATATATTCGAAGTCGGTGTTCTTTGCTTTGTATGGGCTGGCACCGATTTCGAAAATATTTGATTAGGTATTTATTTAATAGGTAGGCTTTAATTACGTAACCAAAGAGTCGAAAGTACGTAGTCGAATTGAGAACCTCCTCCTTTTTGAAGTCGGTTGAAAATAGAATTTTTAACATAATTTTTATTTGGAATAGATACAATACCTATGATGATATTATTATTTGAATTTAGTTATCAAATTTCTTACTTAACAAATGCGAATATCATCTATTATCTACACTCTTATATGTAAAGGGAAGGCAAACTTTTTTCGTCCATCAAATATAGTAGCCACATGGGATATTATTTAAGAGAATATTTTATAATAGCACACGAGTAAAGTAATAAGTACTATTTATCCTGAGGAACGCGCGATCCATTTTGTGTCATGATATGTGATCATTTGTGTGTTATATTAAAAATAAAAAACCTCCTCCTTTTTGAAGTCGGTTGAAAAGCAGTTCTCATACCCACATATATTTTGTTATTTTTAATTACTCTGGTATAATTTTATTTCTTATTATGAGTAATTTTACTTTAATTTTTACACAAATGATTAAAATATCTTATAGTAAAGTAAAAAATACGAGTATGTATGATACTTAGAACAAATACTATTGATTTATGAACCCATTTGAATGGCAGAACTGCTTAGTGAAACCTAGACCACGGCTGTAATTTACTGTCCGCCGTTTCCTCCTGTCTGGATATTATGGGAATCTGATACACTCAAGTCGTAATCCCGCTGAATATTATATTAGAAGCAGAAAATAAACGTAAATAGAAACCGGCATCAGCATTCGTTTTAAACCTATATGATTATGTTCTAGAGAAAAGTTGTAGAACTTAATAATGCCTACAAAAAAGTCAGCGACAGCATATGTCTAACTTTTATATTTAAGTCACAAAAAGTAGTTTTTTTATATTAAAACGAAATACCTATTTCATTTCTCTTATGGAGTTAAGTAAGGAACTCATATATACGCTATTTATAATAAAACGAAAATAGCTTATTCGAACAATTAAATTCAGGTTTTTTTTACCAATCTGAACATTTAATTAAAATATCTGATGCCAATTTTAGTGGAAAACTCAAGAAAATTGAACTGATATCAAATTATAGATCCATATAACTTTGTTAATAATTTACGGAAACATTTTTCTTAGAATATATTACATTTTTTTCTAATTTTAGTATCTGCTGTAGGCTATTATTCTATTTTTGCATACATACATGTATGGACGTAGCAGTACTTTCACTGTCATATACCACAGAAGTAGAAGAAGAAGAAGACAGAAGAATAACCAAACATATCCTAAAATACATATCTAATTTCTTTGTTATTTTAAATTATTTTACCAAAACAACTACATAGTTAAATAGTTAATCGATAATCGAAGTTTTAACATACAAATGAAAGTTTATCAGTCAGGACTTTTCGCCAGTATAGTTAAGGGACAAGGTAAAGTTGTTGAACAAATTCATCAACAATACAACAACAAAGGCAAAACGGAAGTTTATACCGACGATCCACGTACACAAATATATTCAAAAAATTCATATATATAACATGTGAAATAAATATTTGTTATTTATATAAGAATATTTAGAAATATATGTATAGGTTTTCGTCTACGATTCCGCTCATATTTTACGATACCACGGCATTAATCTCAAGTCACTGGCACCTAACATCTACTATCCGCTAATAAATATCCCAATCTGGATCCAAACCTACAGACTTATTATATAGTACTGAATTTTATTTATAAGTTAAACTAGAGTTAAACTTACCTTAAAGGTGATTCCATGTGAACTCTATGTGAAGAACATGATGGTGCCGGTTGGTGAGATGGGTGAGCGGGTATAGGCGGAGGACTACTGTGCCGGCTCAGGGTCTCGGGGGACACTAGCGCAGCACCCGGAGACGCTGGACTCGGGAGGGGCGGAGCGCTACTTCCGGATATTTCAGAGTCCATGCCAAACGTCCCTCTCGATACGTGCGACCCACCCGACATATTGTTTGTCGGAATGGAATAGCAACTGCAACAAAAATAACTGCATTATATCTTAAATTGTATTAACTCCTTATAAGTTAATTGGAAAAGTTTGTAGTAATATTAATAAAAACAAACCTTTAGTATTTATTTAATTTATATAACAAAATTATGAACACCTTTTTAAATAGAAATTAAAAGTAATTAGAAGTTTGTAAAAACAGGATCAGGCGTCGCGCTTATTGCTTTTGCCGCTTCAACCCCTTATATTTATACAGAGTAGGTACTTTTATCAGGAATGCATAGTTTATGTTCTAACGAAGAAATATCGCTTTTCTTAAGTAACTACTAAAGTTTCCCATTAAAACTTCCTGCGTTCAAAGTTACTCATTCCTTTAATAGTAAGATCGTTTCTTAAGACAAATTTTCTTTAGTCCAGAGTACAATAATGTATAATGGAAATTCAAACAGTCATATGTGTTAAACTACACACATTAAAATATAAGTAAATATCTCGAAAGGAAATACGAGCTTACAAAAAAGTAATCTTTTCAATATACACATATATACATACATATTCCTTGGGTAGGTTATATCAATCTAATTTAACTACAAGGGAGAGCGTGTAGTGACATAGTAATTACGATATTTTTTTTATAGAAAAACAAATTTAAAACTTTTAGTAATTTTCTTATCTTCTTGCTTCCTACCCTCCTGGTAGTAAGCAATTCTGGTCCCTGTCCAAGGCTGTCGAGTCCAATTTCTGCCGTCCCTCTTTACCTCCCTTGCAGAAACCAGATGGGTCACTGGCTCACTCCGCGGTAGAGAAAGCAAATTTACTTGCAACTCTGTTCGCGAGCAATTCGCGTCTAGATGCTGGATCCAAACATCCACCAACTCTTCCCCACTGTGATTCTACGATGCCCAAGATTGCAATTCACACGAAAGAGGTCCGTAGAATACTGCAAAATATTGACGTGAATAAGGCCAGTGGACCTGACGGTATACCTGCAAAAGTCCTAAGGAATTGTGCGCCGGAGTTGTCTCCTGTGCTGACTCGCTTGTATCGCCTCTCTCTCCAAACTAGCACAGTGCCCAATTCTTGGAAGCTTGCCAATGTTCAGCCAGTACCAAAGAAGGGTAGTCGTGCCGATCCCTACAACTATCGACCAATCGCCATTACCTCCATACTCTGTAAAGTTATGGAAAGGGTACTTAACAGAAAGCTGATGTCATACCTTGAAGCTAATGATCTCCTTAGCGACCATCAATATGGCTTCCGCAGGGGACGGTCTACAGGGGACCTTCTTGTGTATGTCACACAGTACTGGGGTGAGGCCATCGAAAATCGTGGTGAAGCTCTAGCAGTTTCACTCGATATCTCGAAGGCGTTTGATAGGGTTTGGCACGCAAGTCTACTGAGCAAGCTTCCTGCTTACGGCATCCCTTCCGACTTCTGCGACTGGGTATCAGATTTCCTAACCGAACGGTCGATCAGAGTCGTCGTTGACGGCTGCTCCTCCGATCTAATGGCTATTGATGCCGGAGTTCCTCAAGGGTCTGTTCTCTCTGCGACTCTTTTCCTGCTACACATCAATGACCTACTTTCAACAGGTATTGTTGCATATGCAGATGACAGCACAGTCATAGAGAGCTATATGCCCGGTGCAAGGGACGGAGGGGTATTAATAAGTACTTTGAGAGAGGCCATGGTAGAGCGTACAAATGCGACCTTAAGTCTTGTCTCACAATGGGGTGATGACAATCTGGTCGATTTTAACGCCGCCAAAACGCAAGCCTGTCTATTTTCCGCGAAAAGGAGTCCGTTCAGCTTGACTCCTACCTTTCGTGGTACACCTGTAGAGATTTCCGACAGTCTAGAGCTTCTCGGCATAAGGTTAAGTGCAAATCTTAACTTTGACGACAACATCGAGTCGAAGGCACAAACTGCGGCCAAGAAACTGGGCATCCTTAACAAGGTTAAGCGATACTTCACGCCTGGACAGCTTCTCACATTATATAAAGCTCAAGTCCGATCATGCATGGAGTATTGCAGTCACCTATGGGATGGCTCTGCAAAATACCAACTAGCCGCTCTTGACTCGGTGGAACGCAGAGCTAAAAAGCTAATCGGCGACGAAAAGCTTGTGAAAACTAAGCTTCACAGCTTAGCACACCGTCGCCAAGTTGCTTGTCTGTCGGTTTTCTACAGACTGTACTTCGGGGAGTGTGCCCACGAGCTCCACAGTCTCATACCGCCATCGCCATTCTTCTATCGGAACAGCAGACGTACTGCAGGATACCATCCTTTCTTGGTTGACATTCCGACCACTCGCACTAAGCGCTATTCGTCATCTTTTATAATGCGCACAGCCAAGATGTGGAATGCGCTGCCTGCGTCTGTTTTTCCGAGTGCGTATAACCTGAACCTATTTAAGGTGCGTGTTAACAGGCTTCTCCTGGGCAAACTCGCTAGATCGTAGACCTTATCTGTGCCTTCGAGCTAAGATAAAGGTCAAGAGTGAGCCCATTTCTAATAAAAAAAAAAAAAAATCTAAAGTGTGATCGAACAAAACTTAATAAGCTTCAAATACGCGAATAAAATGGGGAAAAATTAATGGACTCAAGATTGTACGTATATCAATCTAAGACATGATACGCTCATCGCTCGATTTTAATAGGGCTGTCTATAGCTTTACGAATGACGTGAAACCGCAATTTAAAACCTCCATTTTCATTTTGGATTACACAAAATCCGGTCTGTGAAAATTTATTCGGATACTCCATCGAAATCAATTTTAATTTTTGAATTCGGTATACATACATTACCAGTTCAGATTTAAAATACTAGATTCTTTGTAGAACAGACTGTAACACCTTCAATTTTCCAAGTCCGAGCTATTCAGAATTTTATTAGAAAACGCGAATAATGATAATTGACTGCAGCTAGGACTCGAACCCAGGAGCTTCGGATCTGCCGTATAAGTCACTAAATCAACGAAGCTGTTATCGTGTAACATACACACACACAAATTGAGATTTTTTTTTAAATACATAGTTAAGAAATGGCAAGGATTGAATCTGACTCGCATTGAGCGTTTCAACCGCTCTAAGGTGAGACCTTGATTTATATCAATACATAACATAAATATATCATAAAGTGATATGGAATAAATAAAGCTACTCTAAATACGCGAGCTCGAAAGCATAAAAAATTAATAATCTGAAGAATTTGAAGAAATCACGTACTCTTTTGTACCGTTGAATTGGTGTAGTACAAATAATAAAGCAATTTATTGGCGTCTCTTGGTGTCGAGCGACGTGACGAAAATGCTGACATTGCTTACGTATAAAAGTCCGTTGACAAACTTCGCTTTCAGTTGCTGAATGGTTAATATTCTACGTACAAGTTTTGTAAGATTATGGATTTTTCGTAGAATCTAGATATTTTTAAATTTAACTCGAGTATTATTTAGTAATCTAAACTACTGAAACCGAAATGTATTTATTATTATTTATTTATTTAAACTCTTTATTGCACACAAAAATAAAAATGATATATACAAAAAAAAACGAAATCTATTAAGCATATATACTATTCTTTATTGCACTTATATGTAAAATACAAAGAGTAACAAACAATAAAATTAGTTAGCAAAGGTAGGTTTATCTCTAGAAGAGATATTAAAAAAAGTATCAGCAATTATATAAGATTTTTTAAAGTGTCTATTTGCTGAGAAATGTAGAGTTAATCATGATTTATTAGGCGCCTATCATTAGGTAACAATTCCTAAGTAGAATAGACCTTATCGATTACAGCAAAGACAATGCCAATGACCTCTTTTGTTCGATAATCTCTCATTTACAGAAACAAAAGGCCCGCTATTTGAACAATCCTTGTCGATATTTCATTCCTCTAATATGCTTTATGAAACTGATGTCTATCTGATTGTAAACTGTTATCGTAATTCTTCAAATTATTTAATGCCAGCAAAATGTGTCAGAAATTATGACGACGTACGCATTAGTTTAATTAGCAAATTATGGGTACCGTCGTTTGGCACCCCTAAATTACTTTTCGCCATAGACTTAATAAACATATACATAGATAATAATTAAATAAGTTATAAATGGTATTATTTCTTTATTTTAAGTCATAGTTAAATGTTTTTATTAAAAATATTTTTTTCTTATCAAGTCATGTTTATTCCCATAGACAGCATTGAGAATTAACCACATTTCCGTACACAAAGCCGCAAGACAGAAAATATGGCGTTTAATTAAATGACTGCGCGTCAAAATAAAATTAATTCGTAGACAAAATCAAATAACATCGAGCGACGAGCGCACCATTTCCGCATCCAATATGGCAGCGTTTGATTTCCTGTGCCGTTTCCCGCGTAAACGGTTTACGTGGGATTACATGGTACGTTTATATTAATCAAGCTGCACTACCCAATGCTACGTCACTATACTATCCTCAAGGCATTACGACGGTTATCGCTCACTAACTACACTTTGTAATATACCGACAACAAAACAATATTATTACTACTACTTAAAATACTAACTAATTAAAATTATAAAAATGTTTAAAGTTAAAAATATTGTAAGGTAATCGGTGCAATTTTCATTTTGTTAATTGTGGGTAGGCTGTCTGTAACAACTATACCCTCGAGACATGTAACACCTCAAGTCTCTCCCGTGACCATGGATGCTGTAAAGCATTCGAAACGTCGGGAACCAAAAATCAAAATAAATCCGCGAAATAATCCGAAAAGAAAGTTGTATTTAAAATACTACTATATTATTAATTTAAACTCATCCTAGTATAGATAACCGTGGTAAAATCATAAAATGCGAAAGAGTGAGAGAGAAAAAGATCTTTCTTTTTCTATCTAAGCATTCTACTTTAAATTCTTTTTTAATACATTAGCTGTACATTTATAATATAATATTTTTTAATGTTTTATTATCTAATACTTTATATTTATCCATAACAAACACAGAAGTCCTTCAACTTCAGACGTAACAATGGTTGTCTAA